ACATGAACTGAACAAGACAACAAGAAATGTAACATTAACCATCTTCTCATATGCATGCTCATATTTGCTGTGGGGTTGTTAACAGATGCTCCTGTTGTTTGTTGACATGCTGAGTGAGAATGCACAGACACTTACTTACTATAATGCCACTTTACGAGATGTGATTCCATTAGACATAGATCTGTTTCTTCTGATAATGTCTGCTTCAATGAAGGCAAATGTCTCCCCTGTGCTGACTGTAACAGTCCTCTACAACAGTTGATGCTTAAAGATAGCTCGAAACAAGCCACGGAGGGTCATTACAGGTACTGCCGAGCTCTATGAGATGGAGAAACTATCATATCGGTGTACCAGGAACGCATAAACCTTTGGAAAGTCCCTGAGTGAGACCATTACTGCTGACTGAACCATACTGCAGCAGCGCTCTGGTCACTGCCAAATAATGGACGAAGTTTATCGGTAGATTCAAGCCCTATGAGACAGTGGTCACATGATAGCGTAGCCCCAAGGAGTCCTGATGCACAGAGCATCAGTTTCCTTAGTCAGCACACACTATAAATCTTAACCTAGACAGTATTAAAATGTTATGCTGATCAGATTCTTCTGAACTGCAGCCACGCATGTGTCTTTACTGAGTGTGACTGAGCCAAAGAGAGGGAGATGTGGACAATGTGGGCAATTTGTTATGTATGTATGTATGTATGTTTTATTAATCAATTCAGACATGCCTTAAAGAAATAGTTCTATCAAAACAGAAAATCCTTGTGGTTCCGAACCCGTTTGATGTTTTATCTTAGGAACATGAAAGGATAATGCTGGAACTATAAAGCACTTTTACATACAACAGCAGTATATAGGGAGAAAAATGACTCGAGAACTGGTTCAGTGAATGAATCTTTCTTTTGAGCTACTTCTTTTCAAAGAACGTCTCGGTTACGTATTTGTAACCCTCGTTCCCTGAACCCTCGTTCGTCGTTCCCTGACCGACGAATTGGGATCTTGCATAGAGAGACCAATTCAGTTCGAGTGTAAACTAAATGAGCCAATGCACATTGGCATGCGATAATTGCATCCAGCTGCCGCTGATCACAGCGTGAGCATAAAAAGGTAGCAGCCGGTGCAACGCATACCAGGTTTTTGCTGAGGAGCCGAGCTGGTGACCCGGCCGCTCAGCGGTGGTACAGCAGCTGTGGCGATGGGACGTGAAGTCTCCGTTCCCTCCATCAGGGAACGAGGGTTACATACGTAACTGAGACGTTCTCTTTCAGTCAGTCACTACGAGTTATGTCGAGACCGACGAATTGGGATCCCTACCAAAGCGCCATGGCTGCTGCCCCTTCCATTGTCCTGTGCGAGCCTCCTGCGCCCCTTTTTGGTGTAGGCCGGGGCTCGCAACAAGAAGACCAGTCACTGTTGTCGTAGCACTACCCACTCAGTGAGATTGGATAACACTGGGAAAACATACCTGTACCACTTGGAAAAGGAACGTTGCGGAAGCCCCATCCTTCCCGAAGGAGGTTTCGGAAACACTTACACATATGAACAACCGTTTAGGTGCATATGGAAGATTGGAGGTGATTGGCAGAAGTCTGCTGGGGAAACACGGGCTCTGAGGCTATACAGTGGACTTTACACATATGAGATCCACTTAGGTCTCTACATATGGAACCCATCCCTCTACCGGTTCTCAAGGATTCATCGAGTTACTCACCCTCATGTCATTTCAAACCCATAAGACACAAATTAAGATATTTTTGATGGAATCTGAGAGCTGTCTGACCCTGCATAGACAGCAACGTAGCTGAAATGTTTCCAAGTCCAGAAACGTAGCAAGGAGATCGGTAAAATAATCCATGTGACATCAGTGGTTCATTCGCAATTATACGAAGCTACAAGAATCCTTTTTGTGTGCAAAAGAAAAAAAAAACGACTTTATTCAACAATTCGTCTCCTCCGCATCACCCTAGTGCCATTTTGGAGAATATCCGCTGGACGTAAACAGCGTATACTGTTCTGTGTCAGCTACGTCACACGGATACGCTGTTTCCGTTCAGATCAAATCACAACAACATAGGAAACAGATGCGGCGTCTATGCAGGGTCAGACAGCTCTCAAATTCCATTAAAAATATCTTAATTTGTGTTCCGAAGATGAACGAAGGACTTACGGGTTTGAAATGACATGAGGGTGAGTAATTAATGACAGAATTTTTGGGTGAACTAACCCTTTAAGCAATTTTGTAAGAACTGATTACTATATATTATAAAAAAAGAAAAGACATACATATGTGAAGCTTCTTGAAAATATATATTTCGTGTTCCACAGAAGAAATTAAGTTATATGGGTTTGGAACAACATGACAGTGAGTTTTCATTTTTGGATCAACCTTTAAGGGCCCCAGAAGCAGTAGTACTTGCTCTCTCCTCTCTCAGTCAAACAATGATACACTGAATCTTAACAAGCCCAGGATTTACGTTAAAAAAAAGAGGAAGAAGTAGTACAAAGCAAATTTATGCACCAGCGAGAAGAACAAGTGTCTAAACTGCAGCTCTGTTTCACTAAAACAAAAAGGCCCTGATAAGCACAGTTGGCTTTAACATGGTGATTAGCCTAATGCTAATTCCACAGATCTAACATAAATCCAGTCCCATTCATACAATACATTAAACATTGATTCACCGACACCACACAAAAAGTACATCCACAGATCTGTGACTAGCACAAATATGACTCAAAGAACAGGCAATTAAACTCAGTTTGTGTAAATCCGCTAGTCTTTATGAATTCATGGTTCATTAATGCTAAATGTCTGCTTCATCATAATTTAATATTAATTGGATTTGGCTAATGCAGTACAACAGAATACCACACAATGCACCATACTGTAGCACTGTGAGAAATCCACAAACAACACAAGACTTTCTCCCCATCTGCTGTCATTTGTGCGCACAGAGAGAAGTAAGACAGAAACTCAGATGGTGCAGAACAACCTTGCAATAAATCAACAGCAAGCACTGCTCTACTACACATCAGGAAACGATCAGCGCTGCACCTCACTACTGCTAAAACTGATCTGAAGCCAGCTGTGCTTTATAAGCTAGCTAGAGTCTGCTAAATTAAACTACCTTTGGTCCGCTTTCCAATTAAAACTTTAAAGCTGAATTGTGTAATTTCTGTGCGACTAGTGGCACTCACTGAAAGTGTAAAAATGAAAAATCACACCACTGATTGAGTCACAAGTGTCACGCTTAAACAAACAGCGCAATCACAGCTAAAAATGTTTTTCTTATTTTTTTTCAAAGAAATAAATCAACAGAATATTAGTACATTTTATAAATAAATAAATAAATAAATAAAGGCCCCAGCATCCCAGCAACCCAACATAGAACAAGTGTATTAGACAGACAGACAGACAGACAGACAGACAGACAGACAGACAGACAGACAGACAGACAGACAGATAGATAGATAGATAGATAGATAGATAGATAGATAGATAGATAGATAGATAGATAGATAGATAGATAGATAGATAGATAGATAGATAGATAGATTAATTTGAACACATAACTTAATTAAATACATTTTAATTAAAGATTACACAATTAAATTTCGATTTTTTAATGTAAATTTATTTTTCGTTATCTTGTAAGGATGTTTATATATTTTACTGGAAAGCAAGACAAAAATACTCAATTAAGAAAATATTTTTTTGCAGTGATGTTTGAAAAGCGCAGTGTTTACACTCCTCACGAAGTTGACCTACAATGGCTGACACATAGTTGTCTCTGCATATTAAACTAGAACATAAAGCAGTATTTTAGCATAAAAAAATTACACACAACATTGTATTGTAATCTAACTGCCATTTAATTTTTGCAGAAGTACTGCCCTATATGCCTCTTCCTAAACTGTGCGTTCAGCTGTGCCACTGTTCCCTGCTTACTCACTGACACTGTTTTTCAGCCTCCTGGGTGGCTCATTTTACATTTCAACGAAGTGCTATAGTCACAGCTTGGTTTACTGTAGCACATTCTATCTGCTAGCCCTGTGTATCTGTAGAGGATTACTGATGAAACTGGTCAGTAACTCAAAAGCTGACCTGCACTATTGCTGGGCTACTACAGTACTTAACTTTGGAGAAAGTACTCTGAAAATAACAAGTGATTGGGTGATGAAGAGCAAAGAGCAGCATTATGGTTTCAGGAGGTTTAAAGCACAAGCTTATTAATTTATTGAATGTATAGCAGCTTAGAGAGAGAAGATTCAGGAAATGTTTTCAAAGATTTTTTTGACATAGCAGGTCTTATTAGGACATGATGCAAATGTTTTTCTAAACAGAAAGGCAGAAAATTGTTTTATATCAAATTATGTGATGTTATATGATACTATTAATGTGTCTACAATGCTTTTAAATAGCACTTAAAGTTTGCTGACATGCCCTGGTTGGTGAGAATGTAATAAACAGTCTGCTGATGCTATTTTAAGTGTATTCCCTACTGAGAATATCAGCTTAAACCATAAAGGATGTAATGATATTCAAATAAAAAAAGCTGGAAGCAAATAATTTTAAGTTAAAAATGTCTTAATGATGGATTTGTTTATTACAAACACAAAGACATTGACTGGAGTCATGTGAATTACTTGTGGATTACTGTGATGTTTTTATCAGCTGTTCTGGACTCTCATTCTGACGGCACCCATTCACTGCAGAGGATCAATTGATGAGCAAGTAATGTAATGCAAAATTTCTCCAAATATATTCCAGTTAAGAAAGAAACTCATCTACATTTTTCATGGCCTTAGTGTGAGTATATTTTTAACAAATTTTCATTTTTGGGTGAACTATGTGTACAATATTGAGTGTTACCAAAATAAACTCTAATATCAGCCAATAACAGGTATGGCACCAATATATCATGTATTCCTAATCTCCATTTGAGGCTCAATCTGTCTAGTAAAGCATCCATGAAGCAAGGAAACCATTTAGTGATACTTACAGCCCACCATCATCATGGCCACCGAGAAGATCTTCTCCCCGTCTGTAGTAGGTGCAATGTTCCCAAAGCCAATGGTGGTGAGACTTGTCATGGTGAAATAGAGAGATGATATGTAGAGCGTGTGCTTACTGGGACCACCTTCCCACTGGCCAGAGCCGCTGGCATTGTAGCGGTATGGTGTGCCAATGCTGATAGCTAACTGATAAAGCCAGCTGTCCGTCTTGATGCTGTTGGTGGCCTCATCTATGACCTCGTAATCACCAATGCTGTACCAGATGCAGGCCAGCCAATGTGCCACCAGACCAAAGACACACACCAATAAAACTAACACAGCAGCACCATATTCCAGATAATGGTCCAGTTTGCGTGCCACACGACCCAGACGGAGCAAACGCACCACTTTCAATGAGCTGAACAGGCTGCTGAGACCCTGGCGAAGAAAAAGAGAATGTATCATCAGAGATGGGAAGAGCACACTAGATGAACTCCATCACAAATCATATTATAGACATACTAAAAAGTACAGACCTGTTCACCCCAACAACCATAACTAAAGATAAATAGTAAAGGTCACTATAATGATAACTATATTAGTGCCCACACCAACAGATAAAAATGTTCTGTTTATTACAACCGCCCACTGCCGTTATATCGTCTGCTCTTTAAAATTGAGTGGATTCTGATGCTGTCAATGTTATTATCATTCATCAGCTGGAAAAAATCTGCAATGATATTGTTCCTATGTGTCCTCTGTATCGTTACATTTGTGGTGTGAATTTCTCTATTCTAATATAATACAATGATTTTTTAAATTTTATCTGATCACTGTCTCATTGTCGCCATTAACACCTCTCAAAATCTTGCATTTTTCTCCCATTCCACTTGCTGCATCTTGCATTTTTCAAAGCAAAAATAAAATACATAAAAACATATAAAATAGTAAAAGTATACCAGACTAGTCAGTAAGGATTTATTTTTGAGAAATGAATCTTTTTAATGAGACTTTGTTTTTTTCATTTTAACATCAGGACAGTTTTTATTTGTTAAATTTTTTTACAAATTTTTTTTTTTTAATAATTTAGAAATTATTCATATTCTTTATATAATGGTTGTGTTTAAGTCATTGCATGTATCAAAATACATTTATGTATTTTTAAAGAAATCCAGACAAAAAAACAGAACTTTTTACATTTTACTTCAATGCAGCATATTATTGTGTAGTGTTGGCTGGTTACATGCTTCTCTGTGTGCAAAGTAAACAAACCAAGCTAGAAAGAAAATAATCATGGTTTAGAAAAAGCTTAGAAACGTAAAGACATTCATATCGGCTTACATTGATAAGGTGCACTTGAAAGGTTTAGTTAGCATAGTTTCAAGGTGAGAACTTCCATGTTCACGTGAACATGAATAATTCCAGGTTGATGGGTGTCATATTTCAGCCTATAGCCACTTTGATCTAACACATTTCATGTCAGAGGAGGAGGAGAGGATGTATAGCTGGGGTTCCTCGACTGATCCTACCACACATCCAAAGAGAATCTTTGATCTCACGAGTGAACAAATTTGCTTTATTGATCAGGCAAATTCTTTTTGAGCTTATCAGAGATAACAACTAATAGTTTGGATGTATGTTATCGAGTCTGTATCATTAAAGGGTGGAATAAATATAGTCTTTTTGGCTCTGAAAGCAAAATAAAGAGGATGCTTTCACTCAGCTACGCCCACGCTTGCACTCTATCCCTTTGAACAAAAGCTTAAGCATTGCTTGTCAACTTCAGGTCAATGCAGATTATAGATCTTTAAAGAAAAAAAGGCCACTCTGATTAACATATATTTGTACAAGTATTCTTAACGTACACAAATACAGTATTAACTCATTGGCAGGCCTACACAGAATATGTTGACATTTTCTGCAAGCATTGTGAGAGAAGATCTGTAGAATGGATTTAATATGGTGTTAAACTACCATCTAAAGGTTCACTTATGTTCATAGTAACAGAGGTTTAATCACTGGAGTTTGCTTGCTAAAAAAGTGTTTCTACACAAATGCGAAACCCAAATGAATCAGGAATCAGATCACATGACCCAACTGTGTGCACTCCCACTGGATATAGCCACAGCACATAGCTGCTCATTTATTTAGCATCACCAGTGTCTGCTGTCACTCCCATTGAAAATGAATAACTGGGTCCAGGGTTGCTGAAAATTTGAGAACACACCAATATTAAAATTCTAAACAATACGATAGGCTGATAATTATTTTCAAAAAAATTTTTTTAGGAATTAACAAAGCTCTAATATCATCTGAAAATTATTTTAATAATAAGCATTAGTAAATATTAAATAAATATTAAATATAAATACATATTTAATAAACACAGAAGGTGTCACGGTTTGGTTGTCACAAAAAGCTCACAATGAAGGAAAATGTTCAGAATCAGATTTTTAATGTAGAATACACAGGAGAACTAGTAAAACAAAACAAAACATAAATGCAAACCAAAACAGACAGAGACTAGAAGGAACTAAGGGTATTTAAACACTGAGACTAATGAGATAATTAAAACACAGGTGAACAGAATAACATAATTAAGACAACCAAGGAAAACTAGGTCAAAGGAAAACTAACACAGAAAACAACAGACAATTTGCCCCCTCCCAGGAAGGCCCGTCTTCGCACCACATAGAGTCCAACTGAGGAGGAGGCCAGGAGCAGGAGAAGCACGTTGTTGGTCCAGAGACCAGTCAGGATGAGGCCCCAGGGTGGAGTTGAGGGAGGGAGGAGCCATGGTGGAAACTTGGCAGACGACACCCTGGGGACCAGTGATGGAGACGGAGCCTCTGGAGGTGGAGACCTAGGTGGAGTCAAGCAGACGGAGATTCATGGTGACACCCGAGGTCTGGAGGGCCAAGGTGGAGCTGACGGCTAATGCGAGCGATGCGGAGACGGGGACCCGGAAGAGTGTGGCGGAGCCAGAGCGACTGAGGAAAATGGTGGATCCTAAGGGAAGGAGGAGCCAGACGGAGCCAGAGCGCTTCTCCTTACGCTGGCTCTTCCGTCACAACGGGTTCGGGCTCTCCATCTGTGGTGGGCTCAGGCAGACGCTCTGTGCAGCTGGGTGGTGATGGCTGACTGGGCTCTAGGTCGTGAGTAGGGCTGGAGAGGTCCTCATCAGCAGGACAGATGGAGAAATATAGTCCATTATTCTCTAGCACCCACTCCACAAATGTGGCGAAATTGTAACGAGGACCGATCTCTGGGATGCATGCCTTGAACGGCTATTAATTAAATATTTAAACTAAAAAATATAAACACACCATGGATAATGATCATGTAGAGTATAGAACTTTGTAAATGACGAACATAAAAAAATGTACCATCAGAATCAGCCATTTCTTATTGAATTTAAAGAGCACCTATTATGCCCCTTTTTACAAGATGTAATATACGTCTCAGGTGTCCACAGAATGTGTCTGTGAAGTTTCACCTCAAAATACCCCACAGATCATTTATTATATCATTTTGAAAATTACTATTTTGAGAGGAAGCAGAAACACACTGTTTTCGTGCCTGTATCTTTAAATGCAAATGAGCTGCTGCTCCCTGCCCCCTTTTCCAGAATAGGGCTGTGACTTTACAGCTTGTACCTCAAATACTCTGCCAAAAAACATCTGTTTGGTTTTGATAATCATGTATATGGCGCTGAAATCATGCGTTTTAAAGCCATATCAGTTTAAACTTCTGATATTGTTTTCTGAGCGCACACATCCGAAGCACACGCACAGGAAGCAGCTGTCACACAGCACGTGAGTAATAAAGTAAGTTCTCTTTCATGTCTTATTGCGCTTAAACTGTCAAATAGACTGAAGTTTATGTTTAAAACACACATAAGTTACAAAAACACAGTCGGTTATGTCTGTGAAGGTAAACAGCTGGGAAAGAAATCGCATGTTTATATTAGATCTGTGTATTAAGTGACAGTAGCGCCGTGGGTGGAAACGTGCAGATTAAGGGGCAGTGATATTATATTAAGATCTCCTTCCTGGGTCACTAGGGGAGCGAAATCTGAGTGACTCGTTTTTTCATATGCTTGCAGAGAAAGGCTTACCAAAACAAAGTTACTGGGTTGTCCTTTTTCACGTTTTCTGGGTTGGTAGATGCACCGGGGACCCGATTATAGCACTTAAATGCGGAAAAAGTCAGATTTTTTTTTTCATGATAGTTTAAGACAAAAAACACCTTTAATGCAAGTTCTTTGATTCAACCTGCATGTTTCACAGCTGAACGTTTCCCATCTTCTAGAGGACAGCTGGAAGGTTATCTGGAGGACAAAATGGAACAACACATTCTCCGCAGACACTTGATGGAATTCACTTTTTAAGCTGGCAGAGCAAAAATGAGGGGGTGAGAATTAAGTATACCTAATTGTTGCATCCTCAACAGCTTTGGACTGTCAGCCCAGAGTGGTTTATAAATAGTGGCCGTGATGTGTACCTCACAGGTTTAATTAGCATTTCCTCCACCGAGAATTTCTACTTTTTTGTTCCAGCCGTCACGCAATCAAAAGGCTAATTTCTAAAACATGCTTTATGTTCCTGAAAGGAGCAATTTTCCCTAGACACTGACACAGAAGAAGGAAGGTAAAAATAGATGTGTTCATTCTGCAATATTGCATGAAAACCTAAGGCTATTATTACGCTAGCAAAAAACTGATGCTAATTTTGCCAACACAGTCAACTCCCCAGGCGGAGCAGCTCCTAATGGACACTTTTCCTAGTAATTTATCATTTTGAGGGCCTTATTTGCAACTGTGCTTCTGTAGCATTTAGTAAACCAAATTTTTTTTTTGTCTTTGAGGTCGAACAGATGAGTAGCTTTCGGGTGTGAACATTAGAAAGTTATGAGTGCTCATAAATTTTCAGTTAGATGTGACGACCCCAGATTTGTATCATGGGATAATGGAAGAGAAAAACATGAATTCCTATTGGTGAAACATGCTGCATGTGGATGTGTGTGTCAGGGCATGGGGTATGAAGCTTGTGCCGTCTAATTTGAATTGTCTTGCATCTAAAATTACTTTAGATAAACAAACACACTAAGGGTTGCAGCATTCAGAGCAACATTAGCATAAATTAAAGAGCCATTAGTGCATCTCTGCTCAACATTGAATAGGAGAGAGGTTACTGAACTGCTGCACAAATGAGAAAATGGGACAGAAGAGCCATAAACAACCCAAGAAAGGAGAGCGAACTTACAGGCAACACCGAGTCCTCTGCACGTGTGGCGTTGCGTGGAGAGTGGGCCACAGCTGGCAAGTGGCCCACTGCAGAAGAGTCTGCAATGGGATCCTAAGTCAGAAAGACAGAGGCAGACGTTTCACTTCATGCCAAACTACGCTCGTGCATGCATATAATAAGCACAGAGATGGACTTCAGGATTCAAGAGACCCATTTACAGATATTGAACAGCAGCACACTGAACGTGTCAAAGTAATTAGTATGAACGGAACAGCAGATGTATGCACGAAGAATATCATATCAAGATGCTGCTAAAAAAAAATATAAAAAAACAAAAGCGTTATATAACAAGTGGCCCATAACAACAACTGACATGTCCTAATATGCACTTCCAGAAAAATCTTTGTGTGAAATGTCATCACTCACTCACCTTCATGTTGTTTCAAACTAATATGACTTTCTTTATTTTGTGAAAAACAAAATATATATACACCAGAATATTCATATTGCTCTTCCATACAAAAACTATACAATGTCCAAATAGTGGCTGTCAAGCTTCCAAAAAGAATTAAAAAACAAGATTATATTTATTTATTTAGTCATTTAGCAGACTATTGTATTATATCATGCAATAGCTTTTAGTGAGGAACAACAGAGTCTTACAGATAACATATCTTGAATAAGATTTTAGAAAGAGATTTTTTAAACCCATTTTTATGTTTTAAGTATATCTAACAATTTAGGTTTATGCTTTAAAGCAAGCAATTTAACAGTGGGGCAATTTTTTTTTATATATTTTCTGAAAATATGTATTAAGAAATTATGCAATTTAGTTTTTTTATTTATTTTTATATTCCATCCATTCATTCATTCATTCATCTATCTTTTAACCACACTATATAATATATAGATAATATATCTTGATTTTTTTATCCCATTTTACCCCATTCTTTTATGTTTAAGCATAAATCTCACTAAATTTATTGAGATTTATGCTTAAAAACTATTTACTGATGGGGTAAAAAAAAAAAACTTAATTCAAAGTATTATTATTTGAAAAAGCCTTAAAAGGTGATGATACGTGGGGTAACTTTTTGAGCAATGTTGCCGTCAACGGGCAACCAGGACCCACGACCGATTTGTTGCCCATTTTCAATTTTTCATTTTCATAACTAATAATATCTTATGCAATATTGCTTCTCAAATAAAATTATTTTTCAATTAAATTTATTTATTTTAAAAGGAATTAAGACAAAAATACTAATTAAGGAAAGTTTTTTTTGTAGTGCAGGCCACAACCTCCTTGTACAGGTGGTACAGGGCACTGGGTACCAAAACTTCCAAACACAAGAACAATTATTATTTATGCATATACTGATTAGGCGTGTAAGCAATAAGAGCTGCCCTGGTCACTGTATAATTGGGAAACTGTATGGTAAAGAGCTTCTAAATAGTAGTGCAGGCCACAACCTCCTTGTACAGGTGGTACAGAGCACTGGGTACCAAAACTTCCAAACACAAGAACAATTATTATTTATGCATATACTGATTAGGCGTGTAAGCAATAAGAGCTGCCCTGGTCACTGTATAATTGGGAAACTGTATGGTAAAGAGCTTCTAAATAATTTCCTTTTGGGAAAAAAATTCATACAAGTTTGAGGTATTACAAAAAAGAGCGGCATTGCACAACACAAGTCAAGAGACCAGAATAGCCAATAAACAGGGACATGTGGCCCACAGGGGACACAAAGACAGAACAGTCTCCAGTTCATAGGAAAACATCTGACAGCTGCACATCAATCCCCATGACAGACAGTCACACTCTTGCCAACTGCTTGTGCCTTTAAATATTTATAACACAATACACTTTGCAGCATTTTATTATGACTTTTTGTTGTTGTTGTTGTTGTTAGTGACATCACATTGTTTCAGTTTGCTTAACTTTCAAAGGTATATAAAAATAATTATAAACTGCAAAAAGAATTTTTTTGGTCAGTATTATTTTTTATTTTTAATCAAATTAAAATTACTGATCATTTAAATATTATTTCATGTAATAATTTATAGTTATTATTTTTAGTGTTAATCATTTGCACTGTCATCTTCATAAATTCCCTTGGTTTCCAGTGCTCAGTGGGGGTCTAACACACTGCACACTAGCATTAACACCTGCCAGCTCAACAAGTGTCCTGTTGAGGTTGAGGTTGTGGTTTGTGTCAGGTTTTGGACTGGAGACAAACAGAGTTCACTGGAGGCCAGTTGAGTATGACATTTCAACAGCAGCTGTGTCAGAGGCCATCAGCTTTCATAAAAACAATCTCTGCTGATAAATATACACAGTATGCACAATATAAACATTCACATTGGCATGTATACGCATTCAGAAAAAAACATGCATAAATGCATGGGGAAAACATGTTTTACTCAATTTATTCTATTCCTTCCATAAATTCTCTGAATGCTTTTGAGTTTGATCACTGAAATTTTCGATTCCTCCTTTAAAACACGTTTAATTCTCTAACTCTATCTGATTCCTTCTTTATTAGTACTACAGCTTTATTAGTATCTACGGCTGTCTTAAACAAAGATGTAGGTCATCTTAATAAAGGCTCCTCTTCAGTCAGTCACTGTCACAGTGCGTGTGGAGAGATGAAGTGAGGACTCAAGTGCAGGATGAATGGTTCCTTCTTTTAATAGTAAAATGAAACAAAAACAACCCCTAGGGGGAAAAACAGACAGGCAGGCTAGGAACTGCACTACATGCAGACATAACACACACACACACACACAATGAAAAACAACGGTTCAGCACAAGATTACAGACATCAGGAGAATAAACAGGAAACCAAATGAGGAGGCTAGCGAGGGAGACATAGGTGGAGCAACTTAAACAATAATAAGGGAACAAGATGGGCGGGGCAAGGCAACAGACAGGAGAGAGCACAGAACACAGTGTCATCTGGTGGCCATCCTGGGCACACCCGCTGAAGACTGTGACAGAACCCCTCCTCTAAGGAGTGGATTCCAGACACTCCACCAAAAGAAATCCCGGAGGGAGGCGGAACGGAGGTGGATCGGGGGAGGGATGGTGGGCCAGCCCCGTGTAGTGGAAGAGGCCCTGGCGATAGAGGTAAACCAGGGTGCCAGGCGGGGTGTAGTGGAAGAGGGCCTGGAGATAGAGGTAAACCAGGGTGCCAGGGCGGGACCAGCAGGGCAGGAGGCCAGGGCGGGGCCGGCAGCTTGGCAGGCAGCAAGAGCGGAGCCTGCCTCAAGGAGGGAGTCGACAGGGCATGAAGCTTGAGCTTGGGCGGAGCCGGCAGGGCATGGAGCTTGAGCTTGGTCGGAGCCGGCAGGGCATGGAGCTTGAGCTTGGGGTGGAGCCGGCAGGGCAAGGAGCTTGGGCGGCGCCGGCAGGGCACCAGGCTCTAGGAAGGCCTCCTGGCCTTGAAGGACGGAAGAAGCCTTCTTCCTCCTCCTCCGTTTCCGAGAGGGTAGCACTGCAGCTTCGTCTGCCGCCTCCGGGGGCACCGCCACCTCGGGGAAACCGTGAGCGGGCACCGCCGCCTCGGAGAGTCATTGTAGCCCAGCCCCTCTGCAGCATTCCTAAATTCCCTGGCAAACTACCTCAGACCAGTCCCTTGGTGACGGAGGGAGCTTAAGGTATCCAGCTGGAGCATGCGCTGGTAGAGCGGGCTGGAGAGAGTGCAGACTGGTAGTTTGTGTGAGCCCATTCTCTGCTGAGTCCTCATGTTGGCTGATCCGTTCTGTCACGGTGCGCGTGGAGAGATGAAACGAGGACTCAAGTGCAGGATGAATGGTTCCTTCTTTTAATAGTAAAATGAAACAAAAACAAACTAAAACAACCCGAGGGGGAAAAACAGACAGGCAGGCTAGGAACTGCACTACATGCAGACATAACACACACAATGAAAAACGACGGATCAGCACAGGATTACAGACACCAGGAGAATAAATAGGAAACCAAATGAGGAGGCTAGCGAGGGAGACACAGGTGGAGCAACTTAAACAATAATGAGGTAACAAGATTGGCGGGGCAAGACAATACAGGTGCATCTCAGTAAATTAGAATGTCGTGGAAAAGTTCATTTATTTCAGTAATTCAACTCAAATTGTGAAACTCATGTATTAAATAAATTCAATGCACACACACTGAAGTAGTTTAAGTCTTTGGTTCTTTTAATTGTGATGATATTGACTCACATTTAACAAAAACCCACCAATTCACTCTCTCAACAAATTAGAACATGGTGACATGCCAATCAGCTAATCAACTCAAAACACCTGCAAAGGTTTCCTGAGCCTTCAAAATGCTCTCTCAGTTTGGTTTACTAGGCTACACAATCATGGGGAAGACTGCTGATCTGACAGTTGTCCAGAAGACAATCATTGACACCCTTCACAAGGAGGGTAAGCCACAAACATTCATTGCCAAAGAAGCTGGCTGTTCACAGAGTGCTGTATCCAAGCATGTTAACAGAAAGTTGAGTGGAAGGAAAAAGTGTGGAAGAAAAAGATGCACAAACAACTGAGAGAACCGCAGCCTTATGAGGATTGTCAAGCAAAATCAATTCAAGAATTTGAGTGAACTTCACAAGGAATGGACTGAGGCTGGGGTCAAGGCATCAAGAGCCACCACACACAGACATGTCAAGGAATTTGGCTACAGTTGTCATATTCCTCTTGTTAAGCCACTCCTGAACCACAAACAACGTCAGAGGCGTCTTACCTGGGCTAAGGAGAAGAAGAACTGGACTGTTGCCCAGTGGTCCAAAGTCCTCTTTTCAGATGAGAGCAAGTTTTGTATTTCATTTGGAAACCAAGGTCCTAGAGTCTGGAGGAAGGGTGGAGAAGCTCATAGCCCAAGTTGCTTGAAGTCCAGTGTTAAGTTTCCACAGTCTGTGATGATTTGGGGTGCAATGTCATCTGCTGGTGTTGGTCCATTGTGTTTTTTGAAAACCAAAGTCACTGCACCCGTTTACCAAGAAATTTTGGAGCACTTCATGCTTCCTTCTGCTGACCAGCTTTTTGAAGATGCTGATTTCATTTTCCAGCAGGATTTGGCACCTGCCCACACTGCCAAAAGCACCAAA